TATTTGCATTTCATCTTTAAGCTCTTAAAGCTTTTCTTCATTTTCAGTATAGGAGATTATACCCTAGATTGTCTTTTAAACTGACAATAAAAAGACTGCATGCCTTTTGTTTACTGCATATGTTTTAGATCTTTTAAGGTGGTAAGCACTACATGGATTTTTTTTCCTTGTAACTTAATTGCCCATTGAACAAGCCCTTGGATTCAAAATTAGACCAGCTGCTCAAGAACAAATTCTTAGGTAAAGTGATAAATTGTGCATTACTACATAGAAGTTTTCTTCTTGTTGTATTTTAACCCAGTATGGACCAACCGGGTTTCAAGTTCAGCAATAATTAGATTTGATTCCAGACAAAAGACTGGTCTTTGAGATGCTGACTTCTCTCTGAGAGATGTCTCATGTCCCAGAGTTCCCAGTAGTGGATGGATGATGGGGACAGTTGGTATTTTATAGAAAACACTTGGGATCCAATCCAGGGGGCTGTTAACAGTGCTGTTAAACATGGCCTGCTTTGGGCAGAGCTTTAGAGCAAGTGCTTAAGTTTCAGCTTGGGAGAAGTTATTACGTCTGAGCGTAAGGAACATGTTTAATGCTTTCCTAGACCAGGGCAAAAGTGTTCATCTATCCCAGGAGGGAGCCCTGAAGTATTTAAATGGGACTTCAGTACTTTTTTTATTTCATTGGGATTTCAATGCATGTTTAAGTGCACTCTATGAAATGGGCTCTAAGCCTGATTTCTTTCCCTCCTGTATCCATTTAGATGAGCACAGAGTGCAATGTAGTGTAAGCAATCACCATTCTTATTTGGCAGCATTTTACATTCACACGGCATCTAGTGGCATAGACCAGTAGTATTCTCAACCCTTTTAGATTTGAGACACCTCTCATTAGATTTCAGGCACCTCTCGTTTGACTCAAGGAACCCCTCAGAAAGTGCCAGCTCTTTAAGTTTTCACTCTTTTTTTTGATTATGGAAAAATAATAGAACAGGTTTCTGTTACAAAGAACTCAGAAAGATCAAGACAAGTCAAAATGTTTTGAATACTATGGATTCCTACTGGAAATATCTGGTTTTATCTTGTGAATCATGTTTACACCACAACAGCGCTAACATTGCAGAGTCCCCCAAGGCACTTTTGAAAGGGATCTTGTGGCACCCTGGTTGAGTATCACTGGTGTAGATGGACAAGACACACCAACGACTTGGGCCCATTTCCTTTAAAGGGATATGTCTAATGTCCAGACTAATCTACAAAGGTTTGCTAGCATAACTAAGTTTAAGCAAAGGTGTGCAGAGATCCCAGTGTAGTTGGGCTAGTGAAGCTACCCAGGCAGAGGTAGCTTTGCCAACAGAAAAGGGCTTTTGTAAGCATAGCTTCTGTTGCTTGGGGAGGTGATGTAGCTACACTGTTGGCATATGCTGGGTCTGCAACTAAAGAGCTGTGCCAGCACAGCTATAGAAGCACAGACTCTGTAGTGTAGATTAGCCCTAGGGCAAAGAGACAGGAAAAAAGAGCTCTTTATTCAGCGAGAAGCAGACAGCCCATTCTGTGATGCCTTAGCATTGTCACACCGCCTCTTCCCCCTTAATGCAAGTTAAATGAAAGTACATTAGAGAACATGACACAAGCTGGAACCTGGCTTTGTATTATAATTCTCCTATTCTGTACACTGTTGTTGCAAAACAAGGAAGAAAACTACCATCTGAAGCTATGCAGATGATACATTCATCTGATCCTTCTGATAAAGAGAATCTTTGGATTATTTCTTAAATGAGATCTTCTTTCTGTTATTTCAAATGAGTCCCCTGCAATAGGGGGCTAGGAAGCTTGTCTTCTTTCCTATGCTTGTCCCAGCCCCCATTTCAAGGCTCCATCTAATCACTGATGTATATAAGTGGCCCCTTCATCAAAGTATCTGTTGTAAAGCTGAGCTGTGCACATAAGGTTATTACAGTTGCGGTTGAGGAGGGAATACATTGGCTAGGTTGTATACCCTGCTTTTTTAAGTTCAGCAACTCATCACAGTAATGGGCACTGAATTCCTTTACCATCACAGGATTGCTCCAAAGTCCTCTGCTAACATTTTACTCAACAAGAAATAATGATTAGCATTTGGTTTTATGCTGTTTTACTCAAATGTACGATACTGGGTTCAGTGCAGCAGGTGAAATTCTATGGCCTGTGTCACACCGGACGTCAGACTGGATGAGATACAGAATCTTACAAGGGTGCCACAGAACTTCCTGTCGCTGCCACCTTTAATGGGGTCCTTTCGAGTTATAAGAACAAAGCTTCTTATGGATGCACAGGATGGATGCACAAAGCTTCTAATAGATACACAGGATCCATTAGTTGGTCCTCTGGAATCTGTTGCTGGGTGAGAACAAATGGTTGAGAGACTCATATGTCAGCAATATCCACTCTAGTTTCACAAAGTCATGAGCAGGAGGAAAGATTTCCACCATCTTGTTAACAAAATGCTTGGTGACACTGGGTGCAAAGCACTGAGCTGCCATTGCCGTTTCTTGTGTCCTAGAGAAAACTGCAAATCATTCTAGATGAAGAGCACCATAGACAAGCAGTGGTAGTCTGGCTCTTATGAAACCGGCTTTAATACTGCTTGCAGAATCATTCCTTCCATTAAGCTTGTAATATTTCCTGACAAATATTTTCCCCATCATTTGCCCAGCTCTAATTATGAGAAATGTTGCAGCTTATAATTAGTTATGCAAAGTACAACAAAAAAAAACAAACCATATTTTTATAGCCATCTCCTATAAAAATAGCCTAAGAACTACTGCAGTGGCATATTGCAATGCAGAGGAGCTCTCTCTTTTGAGTCTGGACACATTCTCTTCACATGAATACTTGAAAATACAATGGCACAACTCCTACACTAACCAAAACCCAGGGAAGATGCATCTTGTGTAATAAGCAGACCAATGACATGAATGAAACCTTGATTCAAAGTATATTGGCTCTGAATCAACATTTTGATGTTCAATAGTGAGAATTCCCCCTCTTCCCAGTCCCCTGCCGCTCCTCTGACCTGATCAGGAAATTATTTTTTCCAGGAAAATTCTGATGACGATTCTTTTTGTTGGCCTCTTTTTTTTTCAGACCTTCAGTTGACCGAATCTGGAAATAAATCTGGAATATGACAGTTTCAGTTTTTCAATGATTTTTTTTTAAAAAACAAAAACTGGGCTTTTTTTTTTTTTTAATGTCCGATTGAAAACCCTTTGTCTTCCAAAAAACATTTGAGGGAAAATGTTTCAGATGAGCTCTGCTTTGAATGGTGCTTCATAAATACAGTCTGTGGGTCTTCAAACCCAGTTTTTGTTCTACCTGCACTTTCTTTTTATGTAGGCTCATCTTTAGCATTTTCCTGCCACCTTTAGTTTCTGATACAATTGCCAAAAATTCTGCTCTGAACCGC